GGACTTTCAAGGCTGCGGGTGTTACTGCTGGTTCGTCTATGTACAGTACGGCAGCTGCCGGAGTCTATTGGGCAGCTGAAGATGCTTGAGAGGCTTGAGATTATTGACTGCTACAAGCTGATGCAACTTCCAGGTTCCTTTGCGAATCTGGCCAAGTTACAATCCTGTACTCTCACCAAGCTTGGGATATCAGGATTTCCAGAAGATTTCTGGAAGCTGTCTTCCCTCCAGGAGTTGGTGCTCCTGGGGCTGAAGCACGTCCGCAGCTTGCCAGAGTCGTTCTCTATGCTGCCTCAACTAGTGGTGCTGCGGGTGATTGCGTGCAACAAGCTGGTTCGGCTGCCGCCTTCTATCCGGAGAATCCCGACGCTGCGTGAATACTTTGTCAGTGAGTGCCCTTTGCTCTCCCGGCGAGACAGGAGGGTCCCTGCAAGGGTAGGCGAGGAGGATGGGGGGGAGGGAGGGGGAGTGGCGGTTGATGAGGGAGAGGAGGAAGGAGGGGAGGATTTAGACGGGGAGGAGGGAGGAGATGCAGCGGCGGAAGGGGAAGAGGTGGACACAGAGGAGGAGGATTTTGGGAGTGGTGGAGAGGATTCAGAGATTAACCATGAGTATGGCTTGGACAGCGAAGATGACAGGGACGACTTCCCAGTCTTCTGGATTGCGGGTGGAGATTAAGAGGGGGAGTAAAATGGTGGTGAGGGAGGAAGCGGAATCGTGGGCTGGTAGGAGGTTGTACGGTAATGGTCGAATGGAAAATTGTGGACTTACTTGGTGGGAGATGCAATTTGGACCTACAGGGTTGGTTGTTTCCAATGTATCTGGTGTGGGGGCAGTGGTGTGTAACTCGTTTTGTGGTTTGCTTGTGAGCAAGCAAGCATACTCATACCTACGTGCACTGTGCGTCTGATATGCGAACTGCTACGGTATTCCTCCGTTGTGGCAGTTGTTTCAAGTCCAGTCTGTTGCATCAGTGCAATGTATGCTAAAAACTGTCCATACTGTCCTGCAACAAGTACCGTAACTAAGGTGTGGTTGGGTGGAGAAGATAGATCACATGTTTCACAAAATTGCTATCCCAGTGTGGTATTTTCACTGAGATAGAAGTTATTCTGCGGACCAGGCAGAAGTCACTTATTCACATTGGGCACTGACTGTGTTGCAACTAGCAAATGGATGTTTGCACTGCATTGCATAGGTTCTTGTGTAAGAAGTGGTTAAGACCATGTTCCATTGCAAGGCGTGAAACTCCATCAGCTGGTGGGATACCATACATTGTGACATTTCTATATTGCTGATTCACATACATACATACACGCCTCTATGAAGAAGAGGTGGCAGAGTTGATAATGTCAACAAACTCAGGCTGCAAAAGGAAACAAAAACGGCAGAGTTAGCTATGCTTTTTCTTAAAACATGAGATCAGCTGCAGTGGATAAAGCTGGGCAAAACCACAGAGAAAAGAACCCAAGATACATACCTTGAGAGCAGCTCCACCAACAAGGAAGCCATCGACATCAGGAAGAGCGGCGAGCTCTTTGCAGTTAGCAGCGTTCACAGAGCCTGGTGGTTAGGCGCACGATAGGAGAAATGGAAGCGTTAAGATTACAATGACCTTATCTGTTAGCCAATGCAAAGGTCGTACCAAGCGTACCACACGCAAAGGGACAAAAAAAAAACGCAGAAAATAAAGTGCTAACCATACAAGTATTCCACACGGATCCCTTATACCAGCCATTCCCCCATGCGTGCTCCAATTTCACCCCCTCACCTCCATATTGAATCTGGATAGCAGCTGCCACATCAGGGCTGACGTTCTCAGCAATGTACTTGCGGATGTCAGCATGCGTCTGCCATCACAGTGCCACGCATGGCATAAGCACCATACAGTTTTGTTCTTTCGTTTCTCACAACGATTCACAATCCAGAATAGATGTGCCACTATCAACCTAACTAGACGCTAACCTAGAAGAGAAAGCACCGCTCACCTCCTGGGCTTGAGCAGGCGTGGCGACCTTGCCAGTACCAATGGCCCAGATGGGCTCATACGCGAGAACAACATCGTCCCACTTGGTGATCTTGTCTGCATACGAGAAGAAAACAATATAAAAACAGCGACCGAAGCCAGCCCCTAACTCAGCGGAAACTACAATCGTACATGGGACACGAAGTGGAAGAATAACAACGGAAGCGAGACTGCACACGAAGAGAGCACGCAGCACACGGACCTGCAATGGCCTTTACTTGAGCAGAGACGACGGCGACAGTCTCGCCGCTCTCCCTCTGCTCCAAGGACTCGCCGATGCATGCAATGACCTTCAGACCCTTGCTCAGAGCGTACGCGACCTTGTCCGCGACGAACTGCACGTGATCAAGCAAGAAATTAAGAAGATCGTGAGATAAGCATCCTCTACAAGCACCAAGAACGGCATCCCCAATAAGCAGGTTACAGGGAGGGAAGAAATGTGTGGAGAGGCAGGGAGGCTGACCTCGTTGGATTCCTTGATGATGGTTCTCCGCTCGGAGTGGCCAAGGATGACCCAGGGAATGTCGAGATCCACAAGCATGTCAGCACTGAAAGAAATAAAGGACGAAATGTCAGGAGGTCCACATTCCAGATCAGCCCCTGAAATTCTCAGACGCAGAACACGGAAATCGCTTGCAACCAAAGCAGGGTGGGAACAGGGAGGTGACATACCTCACTTCACCGGTGAAAGCACCGCCCTTGCTGACCCAGGCGTTCTGAGCAGCGACGGCGAAATCCTTGCGGAGCTCGGCCTTCACGAGAGGAATGTAGACGGCGGGAGGAGCGATGACGACCTCTGGAATAGAAGGAGCAACGTTAGCAGTCAAGGAGAGCATGCCAGGAATGATGGTGAGACTATATGCCGGTGAAAGGGCTTACGAAATGATTGATTCGCATGCAGTTTCAAGGAACATGCATAAAGGGCAATCATTCCATTCACTCTTCTTCAAGCACGACAGCACATACCGACGACATCGCCGCTGGGAACAGTAGCGCCGTTGAGCACACCAACAAGCGTCTTGATAGACTCCTGGGTGCCGTTCTGTGAAACGTAACGAGGAACACGGTAAGCTTAGAATCCGGATCTGACGAGTCTACATCTCAGCAGTAACAATGAACGGATACTCACGCACTTCCAGTTGCCTCCGACGATGAACTTACGACCCATAGTTATGATTAGAAATGAAAAAGACTGGGAGGCTGGGAAGGCAGAGTCGTCAGAGGCTCGACTGGCGTAAAGTCAGCTGACAAAAACTGAGAAGAGACGTGCAAAGATTCAGAAGCTAGAATAGTTTCAAAATGGGATGGAGAATCTGTTTTATCTTCCAGACACATTCCCTCCGCGCCTGATCCCTACCGACGACGAGGGGAGTGTTTGTCAACCGCAATAGATTTGTGCTCATCACATTATGGTTCAGTACGTTTTCGTACGATTTCACACGGTTCTACATGACATTTTGCGTATAGTGCAGCAAACCGAACAGAACCGTGACGTATTGAATGCGAATATGCTGCACACCTTTTGGTAACTCCTTTTTCCCCGCTCTTGCCACCGTGGCTCTTTGACAAGGTTAATGTGACCTGGCACTATGCGGCAGATCCAGCGCACCTTGGCGCGCCCAGATTCTGGGGCCGAATAGTGATCGTGGCAGCCACGATCAGCGAGCAACAGTTTACATCCTTAGTCAGCAACTGTTCTTCATCAATCACTCTATACAGCTCAACTATGGTAAGAAAAGGTAGAAAAAATCAAGCACACATTGTAGATAAGGTATTTTCAAATGTCAGTCCAAAACAAGGAAGCAAACATGTGATCTTTTTTTTGTTTGATATATTTTATCACATGATACATCACATCCACGTCTCGTTTTCCTAAAAAATCATCACATAATGGCGTAATTCAGAGGTTAAGTGTCCAGAAAGCTATAAATCAATAATTTTCGAGATTTAATTTCATGACCTAATGGCTACCAGGCAGGCCTCTTCCATAAAAATCTCCAGCTCAGCAGATAAAAAACACTCAAATGGGAGAGGTGTGAGCTGTAATGTTTTATGCAATATATGTCTGGTCTACACTCAACGGGGTCATTACCCGCGCAACACGAAAGCATATCAAGCCCCACGAACTGGACCATCCTCCCCTCTCGTCTCGTCACTCAAGCCAAGTCAAGCGAGTGGAGGAGAGGAGGATGGGTGCGACTCATCTCATCTCATTTCTTCCAAACCGATCAGCAAATCCAGGGGAGCAAGCCTTCACAGGCAGCTCTCACGATTGCACCCATCTCCAGGACCTAAATAGTAGCCTGCACCTTCTTTGGGGGGCTGTAGCAATGTCAGACTGACTGCTTTTACAGACATTCATAATAATCTCTGTGAAGGATCTCGGCTTTTCGTCAAAATGGGGGTAACCGAGGCCTTCGTATGCCTCGCTTTCAACTTCACCCTCTGCTCCGTGCTGCCGTTTTCCCCCACCACGCTCCTCATGCCCGCAATAAGCACACGCGCTGGAGTCACGCCGACCCGGAGGGGATGCGACTCCTCGGAGTTGTCGCGCACCGTCGCCGTGGTCGCAAGCGCCGTGCAGGAGCATTACAGCGTCACCCGCATTTTCTGGTGTGTGCCCGACTGGCCCGCGTCCAACTGATACTTTGTCGCGCATTGTCCATCAATTTCCCCCCTTTCTAGCTGTCGCATCCGTCGTGATTATTTTATTCGTGACGGCTCCCTCGCATTGCTTCAGCTATGTGCCTCCTTTCTCGCCGTCGCATTCCCCTGGCCGTTGGTCAGTCGTCTGTTCTTTGATTCTTTTCAGCATTTTTATGCCTGCATTGCAGTCTTCGGAGCACCGCGCTCCGACATTCCTATCTCCGTGTTATCCAGCTTCATACCGTGTATTGCTTCGCTTAAAATATGATCAGCTGATCGTCTTGGTTGACGCCAATGTTGGCGAATGTTCATCGTTGGTTGCTCGCAGTAACGACGACTTCTGTTACAACTTCCCGCGAATCAAGAACAGATTTCGCCGCTCGTTCGCGAGCGACCCTGACGGCAATCCTGCCGGTCAGGCGTTTCTCCGTGACGCGCTGTGCGGGGAGGTGCTCCTGAAGCGCGGTACGCTTCCCGCTGCACTGATCCCCATATGAACTTGTCTCATCTATTTTCTTCATTGCATTTTCACGCATAAGTTGGTCAAATCCTCCTAAGACATGTTTTTAGTCGCAAGCTTCTAGTTGGAATATCCACGCGCCTTTCCAAAATTATCTACCGAAACTCCCTTCCGCTCTCCCTTTCCGCTCAGGCGCGCGCCTGTTCCCCATGGGCGCGCCTATGTCCCAGCCCGTGTCCGTAATGCTGCGCGACCCAGTTCCCCCGCTCCCCCTGGCGGACGAGTCCCGCCTCTCCCTCTGCCTGCGCCGCGCGCTGCTCCCCCCGCTCCCCTTCTTCGTCCCCCTCGTGGCTCCGCCAACGGCTCTGGACCAGCAGCCTAAGAAGAAGGGCAATAGGGGGACTATGATGCCCCCTGGAGGGGGCGGGAACGTGATGACGCGGCAGTTCAACGAAGTGATGATTAATCTGGGCGTGCAGCAGGTCAACCAGCAGAAATTCGACGAGGCCATCAACACCTTCACTCTGGTACGATGAGAGAAAGAGAGACGGTTTTCACTTGGCTTTGCGAGACGCACTTGCTGCACGCCCAGATTAATCTGGGCGTGCAGCAGGTCAACCAGTAGAAGTTCGACGAGGCCATCAACACCTTCACTCTGGTACGATGAGATAAGGAGACACGGTTTTTCACTTGGGTTTGTGAGAATCACTTGCACTTTGTATGTGAGAGGCAGTTCAACGAAGTGATGATTAATCTGGGCGTCAACCTGTAGAAGTTCGATGAGGCAATCAACACCTTCACTCATTTCCCCGTTCCCCTCTCCGTCAACACTGGACTCTCCCACCCGCTCCCCTTTGCTTCTCCCCACCCACCCTACCCCTTCCCCCGTGCCTCCCCCTTCCCTTCGCTCTGCAGCTTCTAGACGAGCTGGGCAACAGTGCGCCAGCTCTCATTGGTCGAGGCACCGCCTACGCGCTCTCGGGCAAGATCAAAGAAGCCATTGAGGATTACTCTCTGGTGGGTGCTTGATGTGTTTCAGATAGTGCCTGTCGATTTAGGCGCTACGTCTGCGCTCTTGGGTAAGATCAAAGAGGTTACTCAGGATTACTCTGGTGGGTTGTTTTGTTATGGTGGTTCAAATGACGTATTGTGGCTAGTAGTTGAGGAACCGTCTATGTTCTCTTAGGTAAGATAACCGACGGCATGGAAATTGCTTGCTGGTGGTGGTTAAATAGAGCGTTGAAGAATCGCTCTGAAAAAGGATTAAAGATGTCACGAAAGGTTACTTGGTGGGTGTCCTTCCCACAGAGATGTGCTATATCCGCACTCGCTTTCTTTCTTTCTTGATCTCCCTAAACCCTCTATACCATTCCTATCCCCTTTCTGCTCGTGCCAACTCATTCCAAGACTCGAATCAAACTTCATCTCCCGCAAACCTACCTCATTCTAAACCGTGCCAGCACTTCAGGGCATCCCATTGCCATCATTATCGCTCTCCTTTCTGCACCCTCACTTGCTCTCCCATGCCAGGCATGTGAGCTGGACCCCAAGATGGTGGACGCCTGGCGCAGGAGGGCACAGGCCCGGCCCGGGCCCCTTATGTGGCTCCTCAACGTTTAAATGGTATCTCACTGCCATCACCATCTCTCTCCTGTCTCCACCCTTCCTCCTCTCCCACGCCAGGCGTGCGAGCTTGACCCCAAGATGGTGGACGCCTGGCGCAGGAGGGCCCAGGCCCGAGCAGCCATAGGGGAGGTGGACGGGGTGAGTTGATGCTGGTCGGGATTCTGGGGCTAGGGTTATTTGTGATGTCTGTTTGTTGGGACTTGGGGTGAGTTGAGAATTGGAGTTTCCGGCACATCAGGTTTCGGGTTTAAGGTATGATGCATGGCGCCATTGTGGGCGTCAACTTTGGGATTTCGGGTCAGTGCGTTGTGGTGGGTATGTGTGGACATACACAGAAGTTTGGAAGATTATCAATCTCAGGTCAACAAATCTGTGCCTCCTGCCCCTGTGGGGTGGCTGTGTCCCTCATACCTGCCCCCTTCCTTCAACCCATCATTGCATCTCTTTTCATGCCTTGTTTCCCACCCTTCACACCTCAACCCCGACCCGCCATCCCTCCCTTACCGCCACCCTTCATCCCTCTTTCCCCACCCTTCACACCGCCCTGTGCTGCACTCCTCTCAGGCAATCGAGGACTGCACCACGACGCCCAGCCTGGAAATAGGGGCTGATGGACCTGCTGGGTGTGTGTGTGGAATCACAAAAACACCATTACTTGCTTATTAACCTTCATGCCTCTCTCTCCCTCCCACCCTTCACGCCACCAGGCCATCGAGGATTTTACCACGGCGCTTAGCCTGGAGAAGGGCCAGATGGACCTGTTGATGGAGCGAGGTGAGGAGACAAGGAGGGGAGGGGTGGGATGGGAGGGGCATGGAAGGGGCAGATTGACCTGCTTATGGAGTGAGGTGACCTGAAAGAGGGGGAAACAAGGGGTGTGTGTGATGACAGGGGAGGGACGTGGGGAAAGAGGTGGGGCGTTGGGCAATTGATTTACTGGATGAAAGAGGAGGGTGAAGAGTGGAGAGAGGGGCATCATCACTCTGTTTGAGTCTGCAGCAATGAGGACAGAATTTTGTCCTTGCCACGCATCTGTTATCTAGTACTGATGCAATCAGCATGACTGATAGTCATTTTCAACAATCTGCTGTTTCCATGTATGTTGCTTTGTCGATCTACTCAAACTGTGAACCATCATCCCTCACCATTTCCACCTCTGTCCACCACCCACCAGGCATGGTGTACGCCAGGGCACGGCGTTTCTACGAGGCAGCCAAGGACCTGAGGGCGGTGGTTGCCGTCATGCCCAAGGAGGAGCTGGCGCACGTTGCCTTGGTGAGTGGGAACACAACATTAGTGTTGGATTGAAGTAGAATACTCTCTCGAACGGCGCCCGCTGCATTGCTGAGTGCTGCTCAACGCATGGGGGGGTGACCTAGGGGCAGTGTAGCGGTGATGCTTAAGGAGGAGCTCACACATGTTGCGCTGGTGAGTGGGCGCATATGTGATCATATGTGTTGTGGTGGGGCTCATGGAGATACTCCAGAGGATTGTGGCAGGCAGCCCGGGCAACACAGGGAGATGCGTCCACCTCCGGCCTCCGCCCTCTTTGCACCGATTGCAGGCGGAATCCACATGTGCTCTCTTTGCTCCGCCCTCACTTCCCTCCCTCCATTCCTGCTTTGCACCCATGCTGCAGGCTGAGTCTCTGGTGGGGTTGGGCGAGACAGAGGAGGCGATGGAGATTTATGAGAAGGTGGTGGATGGAGGGAAATTTGACATGCACTTTGCTGCCCCCGCCTGCCCCCTTCACCCCCCCTCCCCCTCTCCCTCCCTCCGCCTCACCCTTCCTGCCTGCCACCCATGTCGTGCAGGCTGAGTCTCTGGTGGGGTTGGGCGAAACAGAGGAGGCGATGGAGATTTATGAGAAGGTGGTGGATGCAAACCCGGGCAACAGGATGGCGTGGCTGTACATGGGGCAGGCCGCCAAGGAGCTCGCCATGCCTGACAGGGCCGAGCAGGCTTACAGGAAGGCCACGCAGCTGGAACCCAGGTGAGCGTTGAGGCCTTAGTCAGCCAATGTGGTAAGTCATGCGCAGGCCAGAGGCCTTGAGGGTCGAGGCAGCAAACCCGGGCAACAGGATGGCATGGCTGTACAGTGTACATGGGGCAGGCGGCCAAGGAGCTCGCCATGCCTGAGAGGGCTGAGCAGGCCTACAGGAAGGCCACGCAGCTGGAACCCAGGTGAGCATTGAGGCATGCATGTGGGGTTGGAGACGGTTTAGAGGGGTCGTTGAATGGCATGGATGGCGTGGCTGTACATGGGGCAGGCCGTTAAGGAGCTCGCCATGCCTGACAGGCCGGAGCAGACCTACAGGAAGGAGACACAATTGGAGCCCAAGTGAGTGTGGTGAAATGGGGTTGAGTCGGTTTAGAGGGGTCTTTAAATGACATGGGTGCAGCAATGGCATGGATGGCATGGCTGTACACGGGGCAGGCAGCTAAGTAGCTGGCCATGCCTGATATGGCGGAGCAGGTATACCAAAAGACTACCCAGCTGGAGCCCAGGCTAACAAGGAATCTCGTCAGCTGTAGTCTCTTGCTCCAAACCCACTCCCATCCCTCCATACTCCCATCCCTCCATACTTGCATGCCTCCATACCTCATGCCTCGATCCATGCCCCCATGCCCCTCCCTCTCCTCCCAGGTTCGCCCAGGCGTACCGCGTGTGGGCGCTGCTCAAGCACGCCATGGGCGACCACAAGTGAGTGTGTGGGTGGATGTGGCCTGCACACGCAGTGTATGTCCATGCCATGCCTTCCCAACTGCGCCCATGCTTCTCCTTGGGCACTGCTCAAGCATGCCATGGGTGACCACAAGTGTGCGCCCTTCCCTGTCATCCCAACCATACCCTGAATGTGCACATCAGCTCACAGCCACCTTGGGCTCACGGCCCCAATTCATGATCATATCGCCATAGCCAGTCTCGAGTAAGCCAAATCAATGGGAAACTGCAACACTCTCAAGCTGCAGCTGTATTGGTGTTACTTTTGAGAATTCTCTAAAGTAACACCAAATCAACGAAAAACTGCAGCACTTTCAGGCTGCAGCCGCCCACTGTTCCCCCTGCAGCTGCCCACTCCTGCCCCCCCTTCTTAGATCCTTTCCCCTCCTCTCCTCTTCCTCCCTTTTTTTCTCCCTCGTCACTCCTCACACAGGCATGCACTGGAGCTGGTGCAGGTGGCAATGCAGCTCGAGCCGGAGGGCAAACTGAATGGAGACTTCTCCAACACCTTCCCCCTCCCCATCCTTCCCCGCCCCTTCCTTTCCCCCTCCCCATCCTTCCCCGCCCCTTCCTTTCCCCCTCCCCATCCTTCCCCGCCCCTTCCTTTCCCCCTCCCCATCCTTCCCCGCCCCTTCCTTTCCCCCTCCCCATCCTTCCCCGCCCCTTCCTTTCCCCCTCCCCATCCTTCCCCGCCCCTTCCTTTCCCCCTCCCCATCCTTCCCCGCCCCTTCCTTCCCCCTCCCCATCCTTCCCCGCCCCTTCCTTTCCCCCTCCCCATCCTTCCCCACCCCTTCCTTTCCCCCTCCCCATCACTCCTCACACAGGCACGCACTAGAGCTGGTGCGTGTGGCAATGCAGCTCGAGCCGGAGAACGTGGAGGGGCATTACATCAAGGGGTCGTGCCACCACGCCCTGGGGCAGCTGCAGGACGCCGTGAGTGGACGCATGCTGCTTGTGATGCTCTCTCAACCCTAGACCCCACACGTTAAACCTTAAGCCCTTGAATGTGGAGGGGCATTACATCAAGGGGTCGTGCCACCACGCGCTGGGGCAGCTGCAGGACGCCGTGAGTGACGTGGGGAGGTGCATGTGATGCTCATGCTCTCATCGGTGGATAGGAATTACACTCCGGCTCCGCACCAGTGTCTCGCCTTCCCTCCTTCCTCGCCCCCCCCCCACTCCTTCCTCTCACACCACCAGGTGGTGACATACGATGCTTTGTTGGCCAAGCCCACACTAGGATGGAACTACCCAAATGACCAAAGCGCCCCTAACTCACTTTTCCCCCGCCCTCGCACCACCAGGTGACGACATACGATGCTCTCTTGTCCAAGCCCACACTGCAAGCTGGTTACCACCCAAATGAAGCGCCCCTCCCGCACTCTTTCCCGCCTCTCACACCACCAGGTGACGACATACGATGCTCTGTTGTCCAAGCCTACACGGCAGGAGGAGCAGCCCTTACTCTTCATGGCATTCTACCAGGTGAGCCTTCTCAGCAGCCTTACGCCCTAATCTTCTCCTACCCTGTGAGCTCCTCTCAGCAGCTTTACACCCAGGTGACTATGGTTTAGACTAAAAAATGGCCAACCAAGCCCACGCGCCAGGTGGAGCAGCCCTTGCTCTTCATGGCATTCTATCAGGTGAGCCCCTCCCAGCAGCCTTACACCCCCTAAAATTTGTGCTACCAGGTGGGCTCCCCTCAGCAGTCTTACACTCCCTAAACTTGTGCTACCAGGTGGGCTCATCTCAGCAGAGTTACACCCAGAATCCGGAAGCCTAAACCCCCCATTTTCGGTTCCCACAGGGAGGTTGCTGGTTTGGCTATTCCATCTCATTGTCCCGCACTGCATTAAGCATCTCCTGCAAGAGTTCATGCTTCTCGCACCTTCCTTCTCCTTTTTCTTTGCATTTTTTCGTTTGCTGCGCTCGTGCTCTCTCTTGGTTCCTCACTCAGGCCACCCACTCACTTGCATGCATTCACTCACCCTCACCAACCCTCACTCACTCGATCTTACTCTCTCACTGGTTCACTCTCTCCCACCCGCTCACTCCATCTCTCTAACCCACCACTCCCCATGCACCACTCACTCGCATGCACAGAGGGACGTGGCACTGCTTACAGCTTCTCGCCTCAATAAGCCTCTCCGTCTCCCTCATCCTCTCCACTCCATGCTTCTGTCACTCTCTCCCACCCTCTCCCTCCCACCCTCTCCCTCCCACCCTCTCCCTCCCACCCTCTCTCTCCCACCCTCTCCCTCCCACCCTCTCCCTCCCACCCTCTCCCTCCCACCCTCTCTCTCATGCACAGAGGGAGGTGGCGCAGTTCACAGCGTCTCGCCTCAATAAGCCTCTCCGTGACTTTGACTTTGAAGACAACTTCGGACCCGAATTCAAGGTAGAACTTGACGTCTCAGCTCGACAGAAGCTGAGTTTTCGAGTCAATTCAAATGTTTTTTGACTTCGAAGACAATTTTGGGCCCGAGTTCAAGGTAGGACTTGACCTCTCAGCTTTCCAAAAGCTGCACTGGGGTTTGGAGCACAAGGCGAGGCAAAGAGTTCATGCAAGAAAATAGGTTTTGTAGGAAGCGATATCATTGCTCAACTTCGTTTCTAAAAAAAAAAAAAAAAAAAGTGATTTTCCCAAGAGGAGAGGCTTGCAATGACCAGGGGGAGCCCACACCAACTGTTCTCTTCCTTGTTCTTACACTACTTTCCCCTTCTCCTCCTCTTCCCCGTTCACCGCCTCCACTACTGCCCCTCACAGCAAGCATGGGCGCGTCGATCCGTGCCCACCGACCTCTTCCCTGCCTACCGCCCGCAGCCATACCGGGCGGCATTTGACAACCAGTTGAAACCAGAGAGGTGGGTGCGAGAGGGGACGAGAGAGACTAGGATTGAAAGAGTGGGTTGTGAGAGGTACGCACAGCAAGGCACCTCTTCCCAGCCTACCGCCCGCAACCATACCGGGCGGCATTTGACAACCAGTTGAAACCAGAGAGGTGGGTGCGAGAGGGATAAGAGATGGTGATATGAGGGGGTTGAGTGAAAGGGGTATATGTGAGAGTTGGATATGAGAAGTATGCCCAACAAGGTGCCTCTTCCTGGCCTTTCCCCTGCAACTGTACCAAAGGGTATTTGACAACCGAATGAAGATCCAGATTCTGCTGCTCTTGCTGTGAGTGTGTGCGTGTTGTCTGTGTGTGTCTATGTATGTGTGTGTGTGTTCGCATGCGTGCTCGCATTGCACGTCTACACACACATATGATATGCATGGTATCATATCACGTGCCAAACATCACGCACATGCCAAACATCATGCATGTGCCATACATCATGCACGTGCCATACATCATGCATGTGCCATACATCATGCACGTGCCATACATCATGCATGTGCCATACATCATGCACGTGCCATACATCATGCACATCATGCATAATACCTCACATGCACACACCATGCATCGTGCACACCATGAATCGTGCACACACACCATGCAATAACAAACCTCATGCGCATGCACCATGCATCACATCATGCCACATCAGGCACATGAGCGAGCAGGTGAAGCGGGGCAGGAAGGAGCTCGTCAAGGCTGCAGACACCGTTGGTGGTCGCACGCAGTACACTTCACCTGGCTTCCTGCCCAACCAGAGACAGGTAGGCTCGGCTTCTGCCCAATCAGAGGCAGGTAGGCCCGGCATCTGCCCAACCAGAGACAGGCAGGCTCGGCATTTGCTCACTCAGCACCAATTAGGCTTGGTTTTTTTCTCAACCAGAGTTGTGTCGTCTCGGCGAAGCGGCATCGCAGCATGGCAGTAGTGGCACAAAAAACGTTCTTGCTTCTTTCCATATCTCCTTCCTCACCCTTGTTCCTGTCCTAAACAAACCGGCACTGCGCAGCAGGCATGGCAGCTCTGGAGGTGATGCTGGCAGCACACGCCACGTGGCGAGAGCCTTGGGTCATGTAGTGCCTGACGGTTGCTCCCTCCTACTCTCGTGCTCCTTCCCCCATCCCACCCTCCTCCCCAATTAACAGCACCGCACAGTAGGCATGGCAGCACCGGACATGATGCAGGCAGCACAGGCCACGCTAGAGGCTCCCCCCCCCCTGTCCCCCTGTCTCTCCTGCTCTTTTCTTCCATCTTTCTCCACCCTTCTGCACCGTTCCATCCACCCCAGCACCGCGCAGCAGGCATGGCAGCACTGGAGATGATGCAGGCAGCACGCGCCACGTGGCGAGAGCAGGCAGCAGCAGCGAGCAAGCAGCAGGGCAAGGGCGGCAGCAGCAGCAAGGGGCGCGCCAGTAGCAGCAGGCGGAGCGACCATTATGACGATTATGACGACGATGAGGAGGAGGATGAGGATGAGGACGAGGATGAGGCGGGGGTGACGGTGGGAGGGTGGAGGGACCTGTACTCCATTGCTGTGCGCTGGCGCCTGCTGTCGGAGCCCTGTGACCCCATCGTGTGGGTCGACCAGCTCACGTGAGTGGTCCTGTGCGGTTGGTGAAGGTGCTGTGCGGTTGGTGAAGGTGCTGTTCGGTTGGTGGTGCTATGAAGGATAGGAGGACGCGGGAGCGACGGTGGGGGGGTGGAGGGATCTGTACTCCATTGCGGTGCGCTGGCGGCTGCTGTCAGAGCCCTGTGACCCCATCGTGTGGGTCGACCAGCTCACGTGAGTGCTGCTGTGCGGTGCTGTGTGGTTGGTTAAGGTGCTGTGCGGTTGGTTAAGGTGCGGTGCGGTTGGTGATGGTGCTGTGAAGGATGGGGAGGAAGGCGGGTGGGCGGGTGGAGGGATCTGTACTCCATTGCGGTGCGCTGGCTGCTGCTCTCAGAGCCCTGTGACCCCATCGTGTGGGTCGACCAGCTCACGTGAGTGCTGCTCTGCGGTTGGTGGCCGTGCTGTGCGGTTGGTCATGGTGCTATGGAGTTGGTGATGGTGCTGTGCGGTTTGAAAAGGTGCTGTGCGGTTGCTGTCGGTGCTGTGGGTTTGGTGATGGTGATATGCGGTTCATGATGCTTCTATGAAGGATGGAGGGGCCTGTATCTCATCTCCTTCCCACATGCCACTCACAGCAAGGAGTTCACCTACAAGCCAAGGCCCACACACACCGCTGAGATCTTCCTATGTCTCTCTCTCTGCTTCTTCCTTCAAATCCCACATGCTGTTCTCGTGCGTCTCATCTGCTGCTCGCAGCCAGGAGGAGTTTGAGAAGGGCTTTGGTGCTGTGACAGCAATGGTACAGGGGCACTCCAAGAACCTCCGCTACTATGCCAACTATGACAGGTGGGTGGGTTGGATAAGCAGCAGTCTTTACTGGATTACCAGGAATGGTGCAGTGTTGGCAGTGCACATAGCAGCAATGGTGCAGCAATGGTGCAGCGATGGTGCAGGGGCTCTTGAAGAACCTCCGCTACTATGCCAACTACGAGAGGTGGGTTGGGGATTGGCGCTGTGGCCTGCTTGCTTGTATACAGCACGGTGGCAGCATGTGGTGCAGGGGCTCTTGAAGAACCTCCGCTACTATGCCAACTACGAGAGGTGGGTTGGGGATTGGCGCTGTGGCCTGCTTGCTTGTATACAGCACGGTGGCAGCATGTGGTGCAGGGGCTCTTGAAGAACCTCCGCTACTATGCCAACTTTGCCCACCCTCTGGGCCTTAGCATTGATCAGGGCCTTTGATTCTTGACTTGGGCCTTAGCATTGATCAGGGCCTTTGATTCTTGACTTGGGCCTTAGCATTGATCAGGGCCTTTGATTCTTGACTTGGGCCTTAGCATTGATCAGGGCCTTTGATTCTTGACTTGGGCCTTAGCATTGGTCAGGGCATTTGATTCTTGACTTGGGCCTTAGCATTGGTCAGGGCCTTTGATTCTTGATTTGGGCCTTAGCATTGGTCAGGGCCTTTGATTCTTGACTTGAACAGGGGGGAGTGCACCCTTGATTTCATGCGTCCCTCATTTGACCTTCATTTCACTCGCCACTACTCTCGTCCCCCACAGCAGGGAGCTGTGGGGAGTGCCCACCTGTTTTCAAACAACTCAATCATCCCTTGCACCCTTCCCTCTCATGTCCCCTCCCTCTTTTGTCCACCTCACCAGGGCCTTTGCACTGATCGAAGATGAGATGCTGTAGAAGGGAGCATTGGAGATTAATAATCTAATGTTCAGCCGCTCAATCATCATCCCTCACGCCCCTCACCCTCATGTCCCCTCCCTCTATTGTCCACCCCACCAGGGCCTTCGCACTGATCAGGGATGAGATGTTAGAGCAGGGAGCAGTTGAAATCGGCGACCTGACACAGAAATACGAGATCCCTGTTGAGATGGATGCTGAGGTGAGGGAAGGGGTGTGATTTTGTACAGGAGGCTGGCATGTGACGTAGGGGGGCCTGGCAGGTGATGTGATGTAGTCCTCGCACCCAACGAGCAGGGGGCAATGGAGATCGGTGATCTCACACAGAAATACGAGATTCCTGTGGAGCTGGATGCGGATGTGAGGGAGAGGGCGTGCGCGTGCGCTGATTCTCAAGGCTGCTGCATGTGATGTGATGTGGTGTGGTGCGGTGCGGTGCGATGTTGAGAGGTTGGCATTGTACAGGCATCAAGTGACGTGGCCCTCACATCCAACAAGCAGGGGGCAGTTGGAATTGGCGACCTGACACAGAAACACGAGATCCCCGTCGAGATGGACGCTGAGGGAAGGGGTGTGTTCCACTCACAGTCGCAGGGGCTGCTATGTGGTGCTATCTGGTGATTGCTGATTGCGCTGAGGTGGAAAGCGGGAGATACTAAGTAGCTGTGGAACATGGTGGGTCAGAAGAGCTTTTTTGTCATCGACTCATCGTGCCCCTGTCCCTTCTCTACTTGTGCAATCCCTCCTTTCCCCCTGCAGGTTGAAGCAGCGGAGACACCTAAGGAGTTGTGAAACGTAATGGGGCAGAACTTCCTAATCACCGTGCCCCTCTCCCATCGCATCCCTTCCCTTTCCTCCCTCTCTTCACTGTATGCCCTGTATGCCCCTCCTGCACATGTGCAGGTTGAAGCCGCGGAGACACCAGAGGAGCTGTGGAACGTGGTGGGGCAGAACTTCCTCATCACCGTGCCCTGCTTCTCCACCGCGCAGCCCGAGTGAGTTCCGTGTCCCCCCCCCACCCCAAGCTCACTCGCTCGGCCTATCCATTGCACCCACCATATTCCGCCTCCCTCCATTCATTCCAGACTCCCCCCCTTTTCTCCGCTCTTCTCCCACCCCTCATCGCATCCTTCCTGGAACGTTTTCCTCTTTCGTCCGTCCCAATACTTCTGCCATTTCGCACTTGCCATTCCTGCTGTAACCCAACCCGTTTTGCACTTGCCATTCGTGCTGTAACCCAACCCGTTTCGCACTTGCCATTCCTGCTGTAACCCAACCCGTTTCGCACTTGCCATTCCTGCTGTAACCCAACCCGTTTCGCACTTGCCATTCCTGCTGTAACCCAACCCAACCTCCCCGGTTTCCTTCCGTTCATGGTGCTTATCCCCCTCTTCTCTCCTTGCATCCTCTTCCTTCTCTCACCCGCTCACTCCACTCCTCTCATTCACCTTCTCATGGTAGCATGTCTTTCTTGCATCTTCCCCTCACCTCCTTCCCTTCCCTGCGTTCTCCCATCTGTCTCCCTCTCCCTCTATGTGGCCTCCCCTTCCAACCTCCTCCCTCGCACCTTACCCCCTTGTCCCTACGCCTCTTCTGTCTGCAGGTACATGCTCAACGGGACAACCCTCGCCATCCAAAAGAAAAGACTTTTGCGACGACTCTCTCTCACTCTATCTCGTGCCCAACTCCTCATTTCCTTTCCCTCACTCCCCCTTTTCCTCCCAATTCACCCATTCCCAATGCCCGTTCTGTCCGCAGTTACATGCTCAACGGGACAACCCTCGCCGTCCGGAAACTGTAAGGCGCACGCACCCATTCCTCCTTGCTTTGCTGTGTGCTCACGTGCTCACCACGTCTTACAGGCAAAAGCTTTCTTGCTAGATGTGATTCGTTTATTGGAGTGCTCTATAACGAATCCAGTCATATTCTCTCAGCGCACCGGATGAGTGTCTCCCCAGCATTCTCTGACACCACCACCCATTCACTCCTCCCAAGTAGTTCTTCTCTTAGCACTAACCTTTGCAATCACAACTCCCCCTTCAACGCTCACCCTTGCTACGTGCGTGCATGTCACAGGGGCGATGGGGCGTTTGACTTTGCCATCAAGATGCCCCTCACGCCCCCCCGATGGAAGGAGTATGATGCTGAGCTCACTGCAGCATGGAAGGTGAGGACTGTGGTAGCAGCAACGTAACGTGGTAACTGCAGCGTGACATGGTATCATGCCGCTGACACCTCCCCGATGGAAGGAGTACGATGCTGAACTCACTGCTGCATGGAAGGTGAGAGAGGGTGTAACGGTGTAACAGCAGTGGTAACCATGTAGCATGTGAGGCGTAATGTGATTACAGCAACGTAACCACCTAGTGTGGTAACCGCAGCATAGCAGCATGGTAACAGCTGCGTCACATCCCAACAGAACCTGAGTGAGGTGATGGCAGAGGACAAGACAGGACGCCAACAGCAGCAACGACGAGAAGCTGGTGAAAAAAGGATCTTTCTCAGCTGCCTCTTACCCGAGTGAGAATACCCTAGTATTCGCTCCTCTTCCCGCCCTTTCTCACGTCCACTGTTCCCTCCCCTCCCTCTCCAGTCAACCTGCCGATCCTGTGTGTGGTGATGGCAGACGCCAAGAGCAGCAAGGACCAGTCTTTCTCTGACATTCCCTCTTCCCCACCCAACTCCTATCCCCACATCCCAACAGAACCTGTGTGAGGTGATGGCAGACGCCAAGAAGAGCAAAGACGACAAGCTCGTGAAGACCGCCATTCTGCGAGTCGTCTACTACTGGTGGGTACCCCCTAGGCTCTTCCCCTACTTTGGCGTCTATTACTGGTGGGTACCCCCTAGGCTCTTCCCCTACTTTGGCGTCTATTACTGGTGGGTACCCCCTAGGCTTTTCAGCTGAATCATTTCAAGACGGAGAGCTGTGATGATCTTTGGGTGGACTTCCTTTTATGCAGCGCCTGTCAATCCAGATGCTACCTGTGTTTTCTCTCTGTTCCCTCTAGAGCGTATGTGCATGTGCTCCCAGTTCTCTCGAAATGTCTCAATCACCTCCCTACCTGCCACCCACCACTCACCTTCCCTTCTCACCACTCCTCCAGCTCCCCATCTCCCACCATCAGGTACAACTTCTCCCCGCTGAGTCGAGGCCTTGCCACGGCAGGCTATTCCAGCCTGTTCAGCGTCTGACACGTCTCAAAACACATCCCACCTCCCACCACACACCTCCCCACCCCCCATCCCCCACCTTCCACCGCCCACCATCAGGTACAACTTCTCCCCGCTGTCTCGGGGTTCCGCCATGGCCGGCTACTCCAGCCTGCTCGGCCCTTGAGTCACCTCGAAAAACCTCCCACCCACACACTCACCTCTCACCTCACCTCCCATCTTTCCCATGCCCATGTCCCCACCCCATACCATCAGGTACAACTTCTCTCCCCTGTCTCGGGGCTCAGCCATGGCCGGCTATTCCAGCTTGCTCGGTCTTTTCCTCGCCGCCGGCAAGGAGATCACCGCCAAGCCGCCTCCTGACGTTCAGCTCGACTGGGAGGCCATCTTGTCGCCGACACTGGAGGAGTTTATAACGAGGATATCCAAGTGGCTATTTGTGGGTGCAACCGACGGCTCGGATTTCCACGAGCTCTTAGATGTGCACGAGGCGTTCCCCACCGTCGGATCGGCCATCCGCATGCTGTCCAAATACTAGCCAGCTAATCACCAGTTGATTAAATGCACTGGATTAGGACTCAATACCAGCGTCAATACATTCTGTCTGGATCAGTAGCTTCAATAGAATAACAATAGTTGAAATGGTTAGGAGCTGTCTCCTATCTGGAATCGGATTCAAGTGTATATCCGTAGCGTATTCACTAACGCGATGTTTCTCTTGAGGGGCATGACACTCAGGGATAATAATTTCGGGAAACGAGTCGGCTGCGCTCCTGCGTAAACCACCCCCACCATTTTCTCCGACTGACATACCTTGAAAATACTTAATCACGAGTTGGCCTGGCCTTAGGCCGCGTAAAACACGGTTCCCTAACTATTCTCGACCAATCAACACCGCCAATTCGTACCTCTGCGACAAATTTGTTCGATCGTTTCTAGAGTCGACTCAAATATCGTTACTCATCTTCGCCGGCAGCGGCTCATGGCGTCGTATCCATCAGCAGGCCGGCCGGCGCAATCATTACCGCAAGCGGGAGCCGTCAAACCGCCTGTTAAGCAAGAGCCAGGCGGCGCAGCAGCAGGCGGAGCGGCGGGAGCCGCAGGCCCCGCGGGGGGAGCTGGCGGAAGCGCTTCCGCTTCCGCCTCCGCGAAGAAGGCGGTTCCGCCAGCCGCGTGCAGCGGGTGCGGGGCGGCGGGGGGAGACCTTTCGCAGAGCGAGTGCGGACACATGTCGCTCTGTAACGCGTGTGGACGGAGCATGGCTGAGAAGCAGGCCACGTGTCAGCAGTGCGGCGCGGTTGTGGATAAGCTAGTTAAAGAGTTCCTAGTCCGCGTTAAGCCGGTCAGCCGGGACTATTTTATCGGAAAATTTCCGCAAGGGCTGCCCGGGCTGAAAAAAGGCGATGAGAGGGGGTGGACGATGAAACGAGAAGGGGTACCTTCTGGGAAAGTTCTGTCCGAGGCTGCGCGGGTGAGCAGGTGGCTTTCTTGTCGTTTTATGCCACCCCTATGTTTCATGTTATGTCAAAAAACTCTTGAAACCACCACCACCTCACCTGCCCAATCTTCCTTTCTCCTCCCCTTTTCCGCTTTCTCACTGCAACTCCCTCTCCCCCCACCCACCCATCCTTGAGGTAGGAACCAGACGGAGAGATTGGGGAGGAGGGTTGGGGGGAGGAAGGGAGGAGAGAGGATAGGGAGAGGAGAGGGGAGAGGGAATGAGGGAGCGAGCGAGGAAGGCTTGGGGAGGGGAAGGGAGTGGTGAGGTTCATAAGTCCCACACATGCTGCCATGCTGTCATGCCCATGCCCATGCCCATGCCTATCACCATCACCATCACCATCACCCTCACCCTCACCCTCACCCTCACCCCACCTCACATGTCACTACAGGCCAAGGCGCGCACGCGACCACTGCTACTAGAGGACGACACGGGCCAGGCGTCGTATGTGGGGCACATGGAGGGTGGGTGGCAGCATTCGGCGTATTATCTGCTCGTCATGCACGGCAAGGAGTTTGTCGCCATTCCCGCTAGCCAGTGGTGAGGTGTGGTGAGGTGCGGTGTGGTGAGGTGCAGGTGCAGTGCGGTGTGGTGTGGTGAGGTGTGATCCACCTTTGTCTTTGTCATTGTACCCCCTGCATGGGAAAGGTATGAGACATGCCAGACACTTAGCCCCTGTTGGTTCTACTCCCCATCCCCATCCCAATTCATCCCATCCCATCCCATCCCCATCTCCATCCCTATCCCCCTCCCCATCCCATCCCATCCCATCCCATCCCATCCCATCCCATCCCATCCCATCCCATCCCATCCCATCCCATGCCATGCCATCCCATCCCATCCCATCCCATCCCATCCCATCCCATCCCATCCCATCCCATCCCATCCCATCCCATACCATCCCATCCCATCCCATCCCATCCCATCCCATCCCATCCCATCCCATCCCATCCCATCCCATCCCATCCCATCCCATCCCATCCCATCCCATCCCATCCCATCCCATCCCATCCCATCCCATACCATCCCATCCCATCCCATCCCATCCCATCCCATCTCATCAGATGCCATCCCCATCCCATCCCATCCCCTCCCATCCCAGGTATGCCTTTGGAAAGCAAGCCCAGTACAAGACGCTAACCCTAGAAGAAGCAGAGCTGTGCATGCAGTCGAAACGGCGCAAGGCCGACGGGTTTCGAAAGTGGCTCACCAAGGAAGAGTCCGAGAAGCTTCTTGCGGGAGGAGGGAAGGAAGGGGGCGGTGGCGGGAGGGGAGGAGGGAGGAAGAAGGGAGGGTTGGATGATGGGCTAGGGTCGGATGATGAAGGGATGGGGGGGGATATGGAGGATGGGGAGGGGAGGAAGAGAGGGCAGGGGAAGAAGGGAGGGGATGATGACGATGATGAATTGCCCAAGGAAGAGTTCGAGCTGGAAATGGATGGGGATAAAGGTGAGCGGGACTTGACATGTGTGGCACTGAGGATGAAAACGTATGTGATGGCACGGAGGCTATTGAGGAAGAAGGGAGGGGGTGATGAGGATGATGAGGTGCCCAAGGAAGAGTTTGAATTGGAGGTGGATGGGGATAAAGGTGAGAGGGTTTTGTCGTTAGTGGTATTATTAGTATCTCGGTGAATACACGAGAGGGGGAGGGTGCATGGGATGAGGGGTTGTTGATGATGTGTCCAAGGAAGAGACTGAATCGGAGATGGACGGGGCCAAAAGTGAGAGGCCTTCTATCACTTCGTCTCCCAGTGCTACCGAGCACTTTGCCTCTCTTATGCCTTTCTCTTCACTTTCCTCTAGCACTGGGTTCACATTTCAAAGCTCGCGAACACTCTTCATCCCACTCGTGCCCTCCTCGTCCCTTTGCTCTCCCCCCCTTCTGAGAACTCACAAAAGTGCCTCCAGGAGAGGACTGGGAGCACTTCTGTAGGATTGCGAGCACTCTTCATTTCTCTCATGCCCGTCTCTCCCATGCCATTTCTCTCCGACGCCCTTCCCTCCCCTCTTTTCGTCCCCTCTCTCCCCATGCCTCCAGGTCAGGACTGGGAGCACGACGAGCTGCTTTCAGATGATGACGAGGCGACGGCGATGCAGCCAGAGGATGAGAAGGAGCAGGAGAGGTGCTTCAGATATTCCCTTACTTCATGCTTACCCCCTTGCTCCCTCCAGGTCAGGACTGGGAGCACGACGAGCTTCTTTCAGATGATGACGAGGCGCCTAAATAACAGCTTCTTATCGTATCTAGCATCAACTACATTCCTTTGCTCCCCCCAGGCGAGGACTGGGAGCACGACGAGCTCTTTTCAGACGATGACGAGTCCCTAGAGACGACCTCTCTCATCCCTCCTTCCCTTTCCTCTCTCTCCTTCCCTCCCTCCAGGCGAGGACTGGGAGCACGACGAGCTCTTTTCAGACGATGACGAGGCAACGGCAATGCAGCCAGAGGACAAGGAGGATGAGAAGGAGCAGGAGAGGAGCCCGGCTAAAGAGGTGAGCGTGAAAGCTGTTCTTGAGGCGACTCAGAAATCGAAGGATGAAGGGGTGAGAGAGTGGCTGGTCGGATGCGCAGGGCTGGTTGCACGTCCGTGCATGTGTGCCTGTGCATGTCGGTGAGCTGAAAGGGGGAAACATTTGGGTAATCAACAAACATTTTACTTCTGTTTAGAGCCTAGTTTTCGAGTTCTTTGTCTCCCTCTCCTATCCCCCCATCCCCTTCTCCGTCCCCTCCTCCTCTCTTCGTACGTCCCTTGTCCTGTAGGAGGTGTTTCATTTCATATGCCATCTCGCCACGTGTTTTTTGAGAATTCTCAAAAAACTTGTCCTGTAGGAGGTGTTTCATTTCATATGCCATCTCGCCACGTGTTTTTTGAGAATTCTCAAAAACTTGTCCTGTAGGAGGTGTTTCATTTCATATGCCATCTCGCCACGTGTTTTTTGAGAATTCTCAAAAAACTTGTCCTGTAGGAGGTGTTTCATTTCATATGCCATCTCGCCACGTGTTTTTTGAGTCTTCGTACGTCCCTTGTCCTGTAGGAGGTTTCATTTCATATGCCATCTCGCCACTCGCCACGTGTTTTTTGAGTCTTCGTACGTCCCTTGTCCTGTAGGAGGTTTCATTTCATATGCCATCTCGCCACTCTTCTCCCCTCCTCTTCACCCGCTGCCCGTCCTTTTGAGGCGCCTCAAAAGGAGGTGTTTTTTGAGGCGCCGCAAAAGGAGGTGTTTTTTGAGGCGCCTCAAAAGGAGGTGTTTTTTGAGGCGCCTCAAAAGGAGGTGTTTTTTGAGGCGCCTCAAAAGGAGGTGTTTCATTTCATATGCCATCTCGCCACTCTTCTCCCCTCCTCTTCACCCGCTGCCCGTCCTCCTCTTTAATCCGCCCGCATTTCCGTAACCTCTCTTCTTTCCCATCCCCCCCCTCTCCTCCACCTGTTCAGGAGGAGGTGGAGGAGGAGGAGGAGGAACAGGAGGGTGAGGGACAGGAGGAAGGGGAGGGGGGGGCACTAAGCCTTGCAGGCAAGGCTCTAAAGAAGCTGCTGCATAAGGCTGGGGTGGAAGGGGAGGAGGGGGTGGGAGCGAGGGGAATCGGGGGAGCAGGAGAGGAGGAGGACGGGGAGGATGATGAAGAGGATTTAGATATCGCCTTCTCGCCTATTTTCCAGAGGGGGAAGGGGGCTGGAGCAGCGGCGGGCGGGCCGGGGGCGGGAGGCGGGAAGGGGGACGGGGGAGCAGCGGCGTCTGTTGCTGCTGGTGCTGCTGCTGCGCTGAGTGCTGCTGCTGCAGCAGCGGCGGCAGCAGCAGGGAGGGGGCTGAAGCGAAAGGACCTGGAGAAGGGTGCAGCTGGGGGAGGTGCATCTGGAGCAGGAGCAGGGGCAAAGAAGGGGAAGGTGGAACCGGGGAAACGAACCCCTCCTCTGCCTGCGAAGCGGGAACCAGGGGCGGGTGGAAGTGCAGCAGGGAAGGCAGGGGGAGGTACATCTGGGGGAGGTGCATCTGGGGCAGCGGCAGGGCCGAAACCGACAGCGGTGACAGAGG